TTTTGTATTCCCCAAACACTAAAAATCAGATTTACTGCTCATGAAGTTAAAAAAAAAGAAAGTATGGCTGTGCAACTGTTGGCAGTTGTCCACCTGTAGTTATTTCTCCCATCCTTGGACTACTAAAATGACAGAGAATTTCTTAGATTTAGGGGTTAGGTCCCTGATAGTGACAGCCAAAAAGGTGATTTTAGAGATTCTGTTTTTTTCTTAACTTTTATTTAATGAATATAAATTTCCAAAGTACAGCTTATAGATTACAATGGCTTCCCCCCCATAACGTCCCTCCCACCCGCAACCCTTCCCTTTCCCACTCCCTCTCCCCTTCCATTCACATCAAGATTCATTTTCGATTCTCTTTATATACAGAAGATCAGTTTAGCATACATTAAGTAAAGATTTCAACAGTTTGCTCCCACACAGAAACATAAAGTGAAAAATACTGTTTGAGTACTAGTTATAGCATTAAATCTCAGTGTACAGCACACTAAGGACAAAGATCCTACATGAGGAGTAAGTGCACAGTGACTCCTGTTGTTGACTTAACAAATTGAGATTCTGGTTTTTAAAAACTACGTATCCTCTCACCATTTGGTCTTCTCTGTTGTGAAATAAAAGTAACCAATCCTAGCCCTGCTTGGAAGATTTTCCTGACTTACAGAGTTACCAAGGGACAAAGTCCTAAGGGGACACCTTGCCAACCTCCTTCATCCTGCATTTATACCATAGGTCCCAGGGCCCCTGCTGCTGGAGGGAGGTGCAGGTAAGTGTGATGGTATCATGTCCACTCGGCCTTTGTGTAGAAGGTTAGAGATGATGAGTGGTTTACACTGCATTCCGATTTCCCAGGGCCAAGCCAATTGTCATGTCTGGATTCAGTGGCTCTTCTGGATCCACCATCTCACATGGAGATTCATAGCTCACAGAGGCAATTTCATGCACACTGTAGTAAAGAAATATCAGGGCTACCATGTCTGATTGTCAGTCATTCCATTGGGCAGCTTTTTCTTTTCCTAAACTGAATCTGGGATAGCAACCTGATTTATATCATATTGTTATTCATGGGTAAAAGGTACAGGATTAGGAGTGGATGCCATATTTCTTAAAAAATGAAAATTCTTATGATTCTTTAATGACTCTAGTTATAAAAATATCTTATGGGCCTGTTATTTATGTGTTTTCTCATGTTAGTTATATTATAGCTTTGTAAATCAAAACTAAATATATACTTGTAAGCATAGTTATTTTTATAAATCCTTTCTTTTAAGTGAAAGAATTAAGGAAAAAAGACTTTCTCTACATCACTGTGGATAAATTATTTACTGCAATTGGGTAAAGTAACAAATGACTGCTTCAAAGATTAGTGTTTGCGAAATTTTCATGAACAGCTTTCTGATAGATTTAGTAGTGTTATCCAACATTTAATGTATTTCATTTAAAAATGTATCATGTAGCAAAATACCTAAGCATATGAAAAAGTAGTACTAACTCTGAAATCACAAAGCTGTAGTGTACCGGCCGTGGTGGCCATTGGAGGTTGAACCAATGGCAAAAAGGAAGACCTTTCTCTCTGTCTCTCACTGTCCACTCTGCCTGTCAAAAAAAAAAAAAAAAGAAAAAAGAAAAGAAAAGAAAAGAAAAGAAATCACAAAGTCTTTGTGGCTGTAAAAAGAAGGAAGCATTTGGTGTTTTACATTAGTTTTTCCATTTGCAGATTAGAGGATTCATTTACCATTTGCCACTTGATGTGCTTGAAATGAAGGCATAACTTCTGTTCATAATAACATCACTGTGTTCAGGCTCTTTGCACGGTGTGGAGTTGTGTTCTGCATGCTTTAGTATGAAATTATTGCCATTTTGCATAATGATTGTAAGCCAAGTTTTGGGGTTGGTGGCACAGAGGCATAAGAAAACATTCACACAAATCTTCTCTTAGGTTCAGGACTGGCTTGTTTTAACTTTACTAAGCATTGATTATTCTATACCTTTCTTACCATGCCGACCTTGGGCACCAAGTCTCTGTACTCTGAAATCATAGTAGCAAGTGTTACTATAGAGGCAAGGTTAGGGAATGAGAGAATCATTCTCTGGGAGCACTAAGAGAGGACTCATGGAAGTGGCTAGCATTTCAGGTACAGGACAGTGTGTGTAAAACCAATAAAGAATGGGCCGGCGCCGCGGCTCACTAGGCTAATCCTCCGCCTAGCAGCGCCGGCACACCGGGTTCTAGTCCCGGTCGGGGCACCGGATTCTGTCCCGGTTGCCCCTCTTCCAGGCCAGCTCTCTGCTGTGGCCAGGGAGTGCAGTGGAGGATGGCCCAAGTGCTTGGGCCCTGCACCCCATGGGAGACCAGGAGAAGCACCTGGCTCCTGGCTCCTGCCATCGGATCAGCGCGGTGCGCCAGCCGCAGCGCGCCGGCCGTGTAGGCCATTGGAGGGTGAACCAACGGCAAAGGAAGACCTTTCTCTCTGTCTCTCTCTCTCTCACTATCCACTCTGCCTGTCAAAGAAAAAAAAAGTCATTAAAAAAAAAAAAACAATAAAGAATGGATTTATTCAGAAAGGGCCACACAGTCAGTGTGGCAAAGCCCAGGGCATGGGAGAAGGGGTCAGCATCCTTCAACACTGCAAATGACTGTTTCCTATTTTCCTTCTTTTGGAAAGTATTTTATATGGCACTTTCTGAAATCAGTACACATTTCTGTGCTCAGTGGGTTTTATTATTCTTATTACTGTGTTAAACATTTCCACTCCTCTTTTTCTCCATAAAATTCCATTAGCTCACTGAATTTGCTATTGCATGGCTAGGCTGAAACTCATTAAAGAGATTTGTGGCAAGTTAATTGGCTGTCTCTCTCAGTTACCCTTTATAGTCAAGCATGCATTTTGTTATGTAGCCAAATGATACATTATTGCAAAGCACTGCATTAACAAAAAGTAATTTAGAAATTATGTATAAATCACCTGCAAGACAAAAGGATAATTCCCAGACTTAATGAAAAGAAAAGAAGCTATTTCCTGATCTTTGTGTTTAGATAAAGTGGGAACTTTTAAGTGTATGTTGAGATTAATTACTATAAATTAAAAGGTCACCTTTTTATTTATATTTATTTATTCTTTATTTTAGATTGTAGTTTGAAATATCTATTTTACATTCATATAACCTCACAATGCCGGCAAATGATTTGGGCCAAAATTAACTAAACTTTATTTTTTTTTCTGCCATTTTTATAAAATACATTTATATAATTTTTTCCCTTTAAAAGTCCAGGCTTTTTGTACTTTTACTCATATTCAATGAGTGGTAACTATTATGAGAATGATGAACAAGTATGAAGAAAATATATCTAAGAAAATACTTCTAGGGGCTGGCTTTGTGGTATGGATTAGGCTGCTGACTGCAATGCCACTGATCCCTGTGGTACAGTTCCCTGCTAATGCACCTGGGAATGGCTGTGGGAGATTGCCCAAGTCCTTGGGCACCTGAACTCACATAGGAGACCAGGAGGAAGTTCCCGGCTCCTTACTTCCACCTGGCCCAGTGCTGGCCATTGTGGCTATTTGGGTAATGAGCCACTGGATGAAGGGTCTTTCTGGGGTCTGCCTTTCAAATAAATAAAATCAGTCTTTTTTTTTTTTTTAAATCTAGGGTGCACTTCTGATTTATGAAATTTAGGCAGATGTTAAAGGTTGTCAATAATGTTTGTTGAGTCACTGACTTAATGGAGAGCAAAATGGCAATTAATCTTTCCTACAGAGGTCACACAAAGCAGAAGGTGACATTGCCCTTGCTTGTATTTTCACTCCTGAGACCTACTGTCTTTTGTGTATCTTCCTAGGAATGGTTGTTTATAAAAATACCTCTGGGAAAATGTCTATTTTTTTGTTTCTCTACAGTTGAGATCCTGTGATATACTATGCTATGGGTTGTTTGTCTCATTTAGCCAAATGAGAGTGGAATATTGCATCTAGGAGTGCCTTAACCTTATTGTTTCATATGTTGATTATTTTATGAAAAATAAACATGTTTGAATGAATAAAATTCATTTGTATATATCATGAACATGGTACTAGATAAAACTGCTTTTTTGCAAAGTCTGAAAATCACTTTCTTAACCCTACAGGGCTCAGGTGGAGGGAGTCCCAGGTGAATGGGTGGTCCAGTGTGGACCATTGACTTGTGGGCATCATCTCTGCCAGCCCATCCAACCCTTATTCACACTAGAGAGATTTCCTGAGTTACCTGTTTCCCACAGTTGATAAAATGAACTGATGAGCAAATATCTCTGCTCTCATAGTACTTAAGTCTAATCAAAGAGACACACAGTAAACTGATGATCAAATGCATAATTTAAAGGTCAGAAATGCTATGATGCTAAGGAAATGGGTTGCTGTAAGGGAAACTAACAGAGTAGGGTGGATTACAGAGCCAACTTTACCTAAAACAAGAGGTGGCCTTTTAACTCATGGAAGGTTGGGTTGTGTAAACATAATGTGGTAAGCAGAGCCTAATTCCAGGTCATGTCTAAGAAACACAGTAAAGGTAGCCAAAAAAATTAATGTTTCACCTTAAAAGGGCAGGTGAATTTTTAGCTATTTGAAATACATAAGAGATATGGCAAATTTTCCTCTAGTAAGTATCACTCACACAATGGTAATGAGACTGATTTTTTAGTTCCTTAACTAAGCAGCCCAAAATCTATAAATGTCATTAGCAGAATGAAAATAATAGAATATAATCAGGGCATATATGTGTGTTTGTACACATATACACTACATACACACACACACATGAAATAATGCAAATTTTTCATAAACTAAAATTCAGATTGAAAAAGGGAATGTCACTGTTTCTTGTTTTTGTATTGCATCAACCATTTGTGCTTCTATTATTAGTGTGTGCTCAAATCTAACTGCCCAGTTTTATCTAGGCCCAAGCGAGTCTGAAGCTGTGTCAGAAGATAAGAATTGTCTCACCCCCTTTTTTATCTCTCTTTGCAGGGTCAGCCAGGACCACTAGGACCACAAGGTCCAATAGGACCCCTGGGACCCCCTGGGCCCATTGGGATTCCAGGAGAGAAAGGAATGAGAGGCGACAGTGGCCTTCCTGGAGCAGCAGGGGACAAAGGAGATAAGGTGAGTTGCTTCTGCCAGGAGAGTCACGTTAACCAATCACTAGCACTGCTTTTCTGGGGCCGTTATAGTCACAGGTGATGCGTGCTGTACTTTATCATAAATTAAATCTAAGCTTCTCTGTGACACCCAATGCTCGTTCCCAAGCCCTGTGAGAAGATATGGATCCTTGAGACGTTTTCTATGCACTTAAATATATAAGTGTGCGTTCGGTGAGGAGTTGTATTGTTTCGTGGCTTTGTAACAAGGCCTACAGGAAACCATACTAAGTGTATCATGCTGAGCCTTTTTTCATGCAATGTTATGCTGTAGAGACCAGTCCATATCAATTTTATGCAAGTTAAATTTATTAGTTGAAAAATGATGCAGAATATGCCATGTTATGGATAAAACTATAGCTTATTCTCTGATGATAAGAATTTGAGATTCAACCCCAACTATGTGGATTAACTAAGCAAAAGTAATACTCTGGGTTATCTGTGTTCAAATTCAAGAATTTGTTACTTGAGGATAGATTCTGAGAAGTTGGATTTCTGGTTTACAGTGTATTGGATGTTTTATTTGATCTGGTACACACATACACACATACACACATACACACATACATATACTCAAGCATGTGAAATTAGAAGATAATAACTTTGTATTTTTAGACATCAGTCATTAGTCTGTTTTTTGTTATTATAACAAAATACCTGAAGCTGAGTACTTATTAATAAAGAGGAGTTTTTCTTTTGCCTCATGGTTCTCGTCCAGGGTTAAGGGGCTGCATCTGATGATGGGTTTCTTGCTAGCAGAGTCCCAAGACAAGGCACATGGCAAGAGACAGAGGGCATGTGCATGTCTCCTCTGGTCTGTTTTTTCCTTATAAAACCTCCAGTATTCAATCATGAGGGATCCATCCCAATGACTTTATCTGATCCTAATTGCCTTCCAAGGCACATCTAAATACCACAGTTGAATTATTATTATTTCAGAGGGGTTTAACCATATTCCAGCATGGAGCCATTAGCTATTAATGTTTTCAAGTAAATCAACTCGTTACTCTAATAATTTAGTGAATTTTATCTTTGTTTTGTTTTCTGGGATTTTAGGGCCCAACTGGTGTTCCTGGATTTCCAGGTTTGGATGGCATACCTGTAAGTATTCCTATATTTAATTCATTTTTTTTAAAGGGAGAAACACTCAACACCCTTAAAACCATGTGTATGTGTGTATGTATATAAATATGTCTATATACATATGCATATATGGGGGGAGAGAGAGAGAGAAACTCTTGCTTTCTCATCTCAGTGCATGGGTGGGGGGAGGGCTGCATTTCAATTTTGCACAAAAGCTCCAAAACCAAAACACTACTTAAAGAACAAAGTTTTCAAACAGGTGAGAGAAAAAAAAAATAAAAAATAGGAGCTTGATAAACTCATCCTGTCAAGTCCAGTATTCTGGAAGTAAGTGTATGCTTAAATCAAGATTTTTTCATTTTCTACTGAATTCTGACATTGAAAGTGGGCCCAAGGCTCTCATTTCTAATATGACAATCAAAGAGGGAGGAGCCATCTTTGGGGGTCATATAATTCCATAGAGTCTTTCTAAGGATGCTTAGAAATATTTCCTCCCAAATCTTCCAGAATACTCCAAACTAAATTAATTTAAATTTGGGTACATTTTAAAAGTTGTTTTTATTTGTAGCTCTTCTGGGTGGGGAAGGAAGTTTTACAAAATTAAGTAAACATTTGAACCACAATGAACACAATATAGGTATCCATATTATATAAACTTTATGTTATCTTATGCTTACAAAAAAACTTCACTGATAATTTTATTTCCTGCAGGGGCACCCAGGGCCTCCTGGGCCCAGAGGCAAACCTGGCAGAGATGGCTACAATGGCTCAAGAGGTGAACCAGGGTTGCCAGGAGAAAGAGGAGCTCCTGGCTCAGGAGGCCTTCCAGTAAGACACCCAGAGTTCATCCCCATAGGAACCTTAAGTGCAAATGCACTGTGGTTGGAACAGGCTTGATGTGTTCATAAAATAGACTTAATGTAACTGTGCCCAGAGGATAGTAAACAAATGGAGGGGACCAAGCAATGAAGATGGAGAAGTGGGCAGGATCCAGAATATAAATGGCCATAAAGACCATGCAAAGGAACTAGATTTTCTTCTCTGTGCCATGAAAAGGAACTAATGCAAAGCAAGATGATGTGATTGATGTTTTATTAAGATGTCTCTGGCTGCTGTCTGGAGAATGGACATTAGGAAGAAAGAAGCAGAGAGGCCAATTAGCAAGAATTATGTTTATCATCTGGGATTTGCTGTTGAAATATAAACCCCTCTAGGTGTTTCAAACAGAAAGAGATTTAATATAGGGAGTTTGGTGCTTACTGTAATGGTCAAAAGAATGGAAGTCAGGGACCAAAATGAGCCTGATGATCCCAAGGGCTCATAGCTAGACAAGAGCTGGAGTCTGGTTGCTGTGCCTAATTATAATCATCATCCCTCACCTCCATACCCAGATGCTCACAAACCAACCCTCAGCTTTCTACCTTCACGCTTGACACGAGCAACAGACCAGGAAGATGATCTCCTCAGTTCTCTCTTTCACATCTCTTAGATGGAACCTAACTCACATCTGGCTGCAAAGGAGACTGGGGAATGCAGTTTTTGCCTTTGCAGTGACTACAATGCAGGAAGATAAATTAGCATGGTTTTGGAATGGATGTACGGAAACAGCTGACAATATCCAGCACTTGTGGAAAAACTTTACTGGTCATGACTTTTTTTTTCTTAAATTTTTGTACATTTTATTTAAATATATCTTCAGCAAGAACTAGCACCTCACATTTCCTTTCCAACACTTACATTTCTCTTTCCTCTATTCCTTATGTGCAGTTTCTCTCTCTTTTTTTTAACCTAATGTGGATGATGATTGAAAATTATTTGGTATTTAAAAATAGATTTTCTGTGACCTTTTTTTCAGCCTTTCCCATTCCCTAAGTAAATATGACTTCTCAAGAGCCTTCTAAAGTATTTTCTTATCACCCACCACCATGGCAATCCTGTTTTCTCTTCTTAAGAATTCCTTTTGCTTTAAATCCCAGAAGAACTGATCTGAGTAGAACTGAGAAAGAATATCCATATTTACAGCTTTCTTGTGATATCAAGTAAAAACTGTGACCATCTTTCATTCTTAAGCTTTTCAAACACCCTTTGCTTTAACTCAACCATCTGAAGGCTCAAATGCAGTCTGGTGAATGTGTATTTCTTAAGCTCTTTAAATCAGGCCAAGCCTCTTTCTACTGATTCATAAACATTCGAGAGATCCTGGGCTTCATTTGAACTGTAAGACAGCATACAGGACTGACCACAATACCAGTGTTTGTTATGATGGCCTCTTTGCAACACAACTTTCTTCTTTATCCATTTAATATATAGCCAGTCCTCACATTGCACAGCAATGTGAGAATGTAAGAATGACCAGACAACCTAGAATCATACAAAATAATCTTTTTGACTCATGAAAAAAATTATTATTCCGTGACTTTAAAAGATGTCTCTAAGCAGCCGGCGCTGCGGCTCAATAGGCTAATCCTCCACCTGCAGCGCTGGCACACTGGGTTCTAGTCCTGGTTGGGGAGCCAGATTCTGTCCCAGTTGCTCCTCTTCCAGTCCAGCTCTGCTGTGGCCCGGGAAGGCAGTGGAGGATGGCCCAAGTTCTTGGACCCTGCACCCTTATGGGAGACCAGGAGAAGCACCTGGCTCCTGCCTTCAGATCAGTGTGGTACGCCCGCTGTGGTGGCCATTGGTGGGTGAACCAACAGAAAAGGAAGACCTTTCTCTCTCTCTCTCTCTCTCTCTCTCTCACTGTCCACTCTTCCTGTCCAAAAAAAATGTCTCTAAGAACATTAAAAACTCTATACTACCAATTATAAATCTGATGAGAAATGGAAAACATTAGTACTTACGTATCATATGATAATTTGAAGCATTGAGAATCAAATTGTTTTGTTTATAAAGGCTTACCAAGACTAGTTAAACCAGTGTTTGCCTTCTTCTCATGGTTTAACTTGTGGTACTAATTGAACATATTTTCTTTGCCGTGGTGAAGTGTCATACTCCTTTCTAAGGTTGGATCAGCTCCCAGTGTTATGAAATATCTCAAAAATTTCCTTTCATGTGACACTTATTTGCCTGTGTCACTTCTTCCAGCACAGCGTCATCCTTTTCTTCTCCTTCCTGTTTGATTTTGATGAATTCATCTTCACTGAGATCCTGGGTTACAGATAGTCTTTTATGACAGGTGCCCTCATCCCATGGTCAACTATTACCCTATGACCCGTTTGTGCTGCATTTGATTTTACTTCCAGTATTGCCATTTTTCATTCCTTTGCTTCACTTTCTTCTTTGCTGGCCAAGTCCCTCTTCCAAATGTTTTTATGAAAGGTCATTTGTTTGTCACTGAGAAATTAGGAGGCAACATGACTACCTGCTTTGCTCTGGTGTCTGTCTGTGTGTGCCCTGAATAATAGATGTGCAGTGATCCATTGCAGTCATTGAAAGGAGTGATGTGACCAGTCAGTGGTTATGATTAGTATTTGTTATTTATTTAGTGGTTTTTAGTCTGAAGCGCTAGTAGTAAAGTGTGTTACTGCATGCACTGACTGAATTTCAGTCACACTGGTAAATGGAATTTGGACCATGTTGTGGGAAGATTTTCTTTTAAACTTAAAAGCAGCTGAAATTCATGCAGATTAGAACTGAACAACACTACAATTGCCTGATTTCTTAAGTAACCTCTTCCCATAAAATTGTTCAGTTCCTATAGAACTTCCCGTAAAACTGTTAAATATCTCCAGTTCTTGTAAGAGGGATTAATCTTGAAATTTTGGTGTCTTTCATAGGTGCTTGATAGTGAAGTTGGTGGAATTTATTTGTGGTAACCAGGCTAAGACATTAAATAGGATATTAAGATGTTAAGTAGGAAAACCTTGGGGAGAAAAAAATGAATGAAGTATTTCATTAACTTTTAGAAACTACCTGAAGCAAACTAGCAACTACATACAAAAATCTTGCAAAAGAAACTGGCTATAATTTTAGAAGTTACTCTGACAAACGATTCATAGGCTATAGGCTCTGTGTTTGATACGAATTACTAAAATGAGCAAAATCAGGAATCTTTTTCTAGAACACAAATTAAACAGTAGAAAAATTGGCTTTTTGCAAAAATAACATATGTGCTTTATATTACCAGGAAAATGCAATTTCTCTGCTGAATAATTAGTAAATGTATATTAGTAGATAACATTTTTGGAGAAATTCCCTAACAAATATTAATTAAATAGTAAATAGATATAAGTGAACACCTTAGGATGATAGTAGTAATAAAGAAATTTTCTCTAGCAAAACATATAATCAGGTCAATTTTATTGAGAATAATATTTTGAATAGAAAAAGAAATGCAGGAGCTATCATTGTGGTATAGTAGGTTAAGCCTCCACCTGCAGTGCCGACATCCCATACGGGTGCCTGTTTGAGTCCCGGCTGCTCTGCTTCCAATCCAGCTCCATGCTGATGGCTTAGGAAAGCAGTAGAAGATGGCCCAAGTGCTTGGGCCCCTGCTATCAGTGTAGGAGACCCTGAAAGAGGCTTCTGGCTCCTGGCTTTGGATTGGCCCAGCTCCTGCCTTTGTGGTCATTTGGGGAGTGAACCAGCAGGTGGAAATCCTCTCTCTCTGTCTCTCCCTCTCTTTATATCTCCTTCTCTCTGTCTGTAACTCTGCCTCTCAAATATTTTAAATATTATTTAATAAAAAGAAGAGGAAATACAAAAACTGTAAGTGAATATTTTATTTTTAGGGCCTTCCTGGGCAAAGTGGAGAAAAAGGAAATTCACTGTTCATTTCTCGTGGAATTAAAGGCATTCAGGTAAGTATTATGATCATGTTATGATGAAACTAATTTTTTTCCCCCAAATAGTTAAGCCCATACAGGGTGGGTGTTCCCTCGAACAGAGATTTCTTTTGAACTATCCTGATTTTTGTCATCACATTGATACCCTGGGATGGTACCATATTTCTTATATGAACATATTGGCTTTAGTTACTCTAGCTACAAAATCCTAGTGCCTTCTATTCATTGAGAACCACAAGTGATGAATTTATTTCAGGATTTCCCAAGTTTGGCAATGTTGACATTGTGGGTCAGATGCTCATGTGTTGTGCAGGCTGACCTGTATGTTAGAGGATGTTGATGGCATCCCTGGCCTCTGGTCTCTTCCCTTTAGAAGCTGTTAGCACATCCTCCTCTTTATCCCACAAAAAACATCTCCAGATATTACCAAATGTACCCAGGAATAAAGGTGGGGATGAATCAACCCCTTTGAGAACCATTGCTTTTTGTAGTTAAAATATTTTAATATCAATATTTGTTATTCAGTATAATAAAAATCACCACTATTGATACTGCAGCTTTTGAAAACCCTATAGCCTATCTTGATAAATTTAATACTGCTGTGCTTTAGCAGGGAGTGGTATGTGAATGTTCAAACATTAACTCTATTTTAAGACTTTTTATTTCAGTATAGTTTAAAATTCATAAAACAAAAACTCTGAAGTAGGGCAGAGTTTCCATTTACCCCAGATCCAGCTTCATCTATTGTTAACATATTATTGTGGTGTATCTTACAATCCGTAAGTCACAACCAGCTTCCCCTATTGCAAAAATCTCATAGTATATTTGTCACAATTAATGAAGTACACAAACTATACACAGATTGCCCTACTTTTTTATTTAAATACAACCTCCTTCTATTCATTCTGCCCTTCCCAGCATCTTACAATCAACATAGAAATTAACTCTTGGGTAACCATCTTATCTCTGCAATATGAGAAGCCATAGATACATAGGGTGAGATCAGTAGAAAAGATGAATCAAGAAGAAAGATACAGTACATTTTCAAGGCATGTGGTCATTTCTTATAAGGAAGACTATTCTACAATTACAGAAAAGTAGACAATGATTGCTTCTGTTAGACCCTTAAGTTCTTTGCTACCCCAAAGGGTAATCTCTTTAATGAACTCACAGTATTTTATGTGTCCTCTGTGCCTACTTGTATTTGTCAAGAACTATGGATTTATTATAGCTTTAATTATATGTTAATAAACAGAATCAAAAGTAAGATCATTTTGGAACAAGTACGGTGTACTTATATTCAACATGAAATTATCATTTGACCCAGTAACTCCACTTTTGAGTATATACCTGAAGGAACTGAAAGCAGAAACTCAGGTATTTGTACACCTATGGTTACAGTGGCATTGATTAAAATAAATAAAAGGTGAAAGGAACCCAAGGGTCAATCAACATTTAAGTGAACAAACTTAAATTTGTGGCATATGTGTATAATGGATGGTTATTCAGCCTTAAAAAAGAAGGAAATTCTGACACATGTATTATCCTGGATATAGCGATGAAATTAGATTGAGTGAAATAAGCCAGTGACAAAATGACTAATATTATTTGATTCTACTTAAATTAGTTTTGTAAAAATAGTCAAGTTTATGGAGAACAAGAGTAGACTGAAGGTTTCCAGGGACTAGGGGGAGGAAATGGGGAGTTAGTATTTAGTAGGTTAAGGGTTTCCTTTGGGAAGGTGGAAAGTTCTGAAGATGGATGATGGTCATGCTTGAATAAAAATGTAAATATGTTTAGTACCACAGAAATAACTATACTTAACAATGATTAAATTTTATCTTATGTACATTTTACACTTAAGTAGTCTGAATCCAAAAGACTATACACTCTTTGATGCTTTAGAGTAGATTGAGTCTTGGTGCAAAGTCACAAAGCAATAAATCTGAACAGAGGCAGAGGTGAGAGAATTCCCCCATGAATTCATTTTATGTCCACTCTAGGATGGGCCAAAGAGCAAGGTGTCTCAACCAAGGCAAGATGTGACCATTAGACAAGAGACGGATAAACATCAAGAAAATGGGGCCATTGCATTGAGGATTTAGAACAATTTGAACTGAAAGACAAAAATCTTGATTCTGTGTTGTCAGGACCCAAACAATCTTTCTGGAGAAAGAGTAAAAGGAAAATTCAAGCCTAAGAGTGGAGAGAGAAAAATCACCTCATAAAGCCCTTCTGCTGTTGTCTTCTCAACACTCAGAAGTTGAACAAATGGCACAAATAGGCCAATTCGGATAATTTTTTGTGTATTTCTACATGTACATAATCTGAGATTTAGAAAAAGTGTGTTTCTCCCATAAAGGAGTATGTAATTACTGTTGCAGGGAGACCGAGGGGATCCAGGACCACACGGCTTACCAGTAAGTCTCCTGAGCTTGTTTTGTGCTCCTGTTTGCTCCCCAAACAGCCTTTCATGCATACTAGATCTGCATAATTTGTGAGCCCACTCAGTGCACAATGGAAATGTAGATTCCTTATATTAAAAATTATTGAGAATTTCAAGATGACTACATTGAGTATTAAATCAAGGTTAGTTAGCTCTGTGAGGTTGCAGAAGTTGCACACCTGTGAAACTATCCTTAAATCTCAACAAGCTTCCTCTTTTCTATATCTTAATCATAATCTGGTGTTGCTCAGGCATATACAGATACAATGTACAGGAAGGCACGTCTGTTTAGAAACTACATGTATAATGTACACATCTATGTATATGTGCCAACTACAAATATATGTCAAGTGAAATGACTGTGCATCGCCTCTCTATACAATTTCACTTGCCAGCAATTATATATAATATTTAATATTTTACCCCATCTCCATCTCCCTGAAATCTTTAATTGAATGATAATATTAATCTTTCAATCTATCAACATTTATTGGATTAAAATTAGAAGTAATTTTGCTTCCCAAGAGTTATAACTTTGCTTTGTAACTTCTGGCTCCTGATGGAATTATTTTTCCAGGTTGGTTTTCCTTACTACTGCTAAAACTCATTTCTACATAATAAATGAGATACTTTGATGTCCCTGTTAAAAGAAACACCCATTTATCCTCCTAAAGAGGGCAATTTGATTACATAAATCATTCATTGGAGGTAGAATCAGTGGCAGAACCGATAGTCTCTCCGCTCTTCCAGGATTGCCCAGATACAACCTTTCCTTGTCAATTTGTGTGCAGTTTTGCCTTGACTTAGATGTTACATAAAATTGTTTATGAATGATTGTGATTGTGAATTGGAGCTAATGTTTTCATTCATGTTGCTGTTGTAGACTGCTTTCAAGTATATTAGGAAGTAAATGCATTAATATTTTAATATTAGTTATTAATATTAATAATTTAAAAGCATCATAATATATATATAAATTGTAACATCCATGGGTATTAGGAGTAGCTAATAAGAAGTTTGCCATGTAAACTTTTGCTATTATAAGCTTTATTTGCAATGATTTCACTTAAGCTCTGGGACTTAATTGAATCCTACAGATGGGAATTTGTCACACCTCCCAGAGCGCTGCCACTGTCCATCTCTGTGTTGTTCTAATGGCCATGTCGGAGCTACTGTTGAAGGTGATCCCCCAGGGCAGATGTGGCACGAGCTGTGATTTCTTAGGGATTAGCTGCAGTTCTTGCTATAGACAAGGATTACATTTTTGACAACAAAGACATTGATTTTTTTTATATATGTATATCTAGGGATCTAGGGGTGCAAGAGGACCTGCAGGTCCCATGGGATATTCCGGAGCTCCAGGGTTAATGGTAAGAACAGCACTGCCTATGCAGTCCCTCTAAAAGCCCAAAGTCAACATTAAAATAAAGTAAAAAAGAAAAATTGAAGTCTTGGGTCAGGCACCAAAGGGCTCTTTGACAGAGTCTATCTGATGCACCAGAAGCAAAAACCCACCCTAGTGGTTGGAACAGCCACCTGAAGCATAGATCTCCCGGGGATAAGCCAGTGGCTTCACGTTCATGTATAACAGCATCCCGTCCAGGATCCAAAGCCCTTCGTGTGAGTTAATTTTACAATTAAGAAGTTTCTAAATGTGAACTTGGGGCAGCCAACAAAGATACATTCTAATTTCTACAACTGATGACCAATTTGTGATTTTTTTTTTTTTTGTCATTGATTTAGGGACCTCCTGGCAGTCCTGGGAGCCCGGGTTTGAAGGTAGGAAGCCATGAGTTAAGACACATAAGAGTCTGTGCATTGAAAGAACTAACTGCCAATATTTGCCAGAATTTTATCTTTGCTTTTATTGGACTTCCCACGATTTAACCTGAAGTCTTCATGGCTTTTAAGTACTTTTTTAAAATTCAAAGGCTGTTATATTTCTATTCTGTTCTTTTTCAGGGAAATCCTGGTGTGGGAGTGAAGGGACAGATGGGAGACCCGGTAAGAATCACCTTCTACATGGAAGAGGAGCAGAAGCCACAGGGTGTGTGCTGCCCAGCTGTGGGGGCGGCACTGGTTATTGTTTAATTTGTGCTCATTATCTAGTCACTGGCCAGTTTTAGGGATGAGAGCTTTTCTTTGCTGAATTATTATGGTACCATTACTCTTGGCTGTAAAATGACACTTCTGATAAAAATTCAACACTAAATCCAAGTAATTTACTCTAGCAAAAAGAGTTTGAGCATTTTTGACAGTGTATAATAGCCAGAGTAATAATTTAATTACTGATTTGTTTGGCTTAACTTCACAAATTTCATCAGAATCCTGAGCCCCACACATACATGTAAGTAGAAGTAACTGAAACCATGAGTACTTAGCACACTCACTTCCCTCCTGCCCTCTTTGGCAGCCCCCACAAACATGTCCTTTTAGCAGAAAGAAAATATTAGGTGTTTGTGTCTGTCAAAAATATTAATGGTTTTAGTAATTATATATTTAAGAATTTACTTTGTTTTGCTCAATGTAGTTGGCATTTTATGGGCATTATTTATTCAATAAAATAATCCTCTGAGGTAGGCAATATTATTGTTCCCATTTCACCGAGAAGAAAAATGAGGGGTTTAGGAATTCAGGCAACTAGGGAACTTGCCCAAAGTAACACAGCCAACAGGGCCTGATTTGCAAACACAGGTGACCTGCTCCGTACCAGCTCTTAACTAAGCCAAGAAGAAATGATAATAAGTACAAAGTATTAACAATATTCTGAAGAGTACAACATAATTATCTTCTAGTTACATGTGAGCATTCATAGTTTCATAATGCACAATCAATTCAAGGAATATTCTTTCTCCAATGGAATAATATCTACAATGCCATAAATTAAAAAATTTTTGCTAATTATTTTATAGAGTTATAAAATAATGTTGAAAATAAGTTAGAAACTATCTAAATCTCACCAGAACAGAAGGGTCTAATAACTCCTAGTATACTTTTAGGATAGATTATAGGATAGGAATTAAAAATCAGGATTGTGAAGAATTTTTAGTACAATAGGAAAATTCTTGCAAGATTTGATTATAAAAGAAAAATACAAAATTATTGGAAAATTTACTAAGATCATATGTTTTAATTTGTGCTTACATTATGTGGTGTTATTCTGCTTATAGTACATTTTAAATTTCATCAAACCATTATTCACATATATGTCCATATGTGAATATATGTATATATGCATATATAAATATATGTGTGTACACGCACAGACTGTAAAAATTATACTAAAATTTTTATAAAGATTATTTTGAATTATGATAATATAATGGATTAGTTTTATTTTCTGTTTATTTTTGGTTTTAAAAGATTTATTTATTTGAAAGGCAGAATATCATAGAGAGAAAGACAGACAGACTGGTTCACTCCCCAAATGGCTGCAACAGCCAGGACTGGGCCAGAGTGAAGCTAGGAACCAGGAACTTCAATCTGGGTGTCCCAGGTAGGTAGGTGACAGATGCCCAAGCAACTGGGCTATCACCTGCTGCTTTCCCACCTGCATTGGCAGGGAGCTGGATTGGAAGTGGAGCAGCCGGGACTCTGACCAGCTCTCCAATAAAGGATGCCAGGATTGCAAGTGGTAGCTTAACCAGCTACAGAACACTGTTTGCCCCTAAGTTTATTTTTTTTTATTTTAATTTTTTAAAGATTCATTTATTTTACTTGAAAGGCAGAATTACAGAAAGGCAGAGAGAGAGAGAGAGAGAGAGAGAGAGAGAGAGAGAGGTCTTCCATCTGCTGGTTCACTCCCCAGATGGCTACAACAGCCAGAGCTGAGCCAGTCTGAAGCCAGGAGCCAGGAGCTTCCTCCGGGTCTCCCACGGGAGTGCAGGGGCCCAAGGACTTGGGCCATCTTCCACTGCTTTCCCAGGCCATAGCAGAGAGCTGGATCAGAATAGGAGCAGCAGGGACTCCAACCGGAACCCATACAGGATGCCGTCACTGCAAACGGTGGCTTTACCTGCTACACCACAAAGCTGCACCCCCTGTTTATTTTTAAGAATAAGTATATATTACATATTAGTAAGAAAATAACAAATATCATTTGAAATTATATTTGAAGTTCGTGATCTACTTGACTGAAAACAGATTATACCAAATTATGTGGCTGAAAGTCTTTGAACCATAGATTCATATGCAATTCCTATTTTCTTGATTTTTCTTTTAAAGGGTGAGGTTGGCCAGCAAGGTTCGCCTGGACCCACCCTACTGGTAGAGCCACCCGACTTTAGTCTCTATAAAGGAGAAAAGGTAAGCTCAAATCCATATGTCACTTTTGTATCGTAAGAGAAAACAGCCTCTGAACATGTACCTGCAGCAGCAACATTTTGTGCATCACCACACTGATCTCAAAGCTACCTTCCTAGGTCAGTACTATTGTTAACACCATTGTTCAGAGTGGAAAATTGAGGCTGGGAAGGTACCAGTGTTCTTGGATTTACTCAACTGTGGAGTTGAGTAAAAAAAAGGTGGACCTGACTCAAGCTGCCAAATTGGGCACACCATAGACTTTTTATTGTTTTTTTTTTTTTTTTTAAGATTTATTTATTTGAAAGGCAAAGAGAGAGTGAGAGAGAGAGAGAGAGAGAGAGAGAGAGAGAGAAATCTTCCATCTACTGGTTCACTCCCCAGATGGAGGCAATGGCTGGAGTTGGGCCTATCCAAAGCCAGAGCCAGGAGCATCTTCTGGGTCTCTTTGGTGGATGTAGGGGCCCAAGCATTTGGGCCATCTTCTTGCTGCTGTCTCAGCTGCATTAGCTGGGAGCTGGTTCAGAAGTGGAGCAGTCAGGCCTCAAACTGGTGTCCATATGGGATGCCTGTGCTGCAGGCAGTGGCTTTACTGGTCGCACCACAGGGCCAGCCCCATGCCATGGATTCTTGACACATATTAACCCCTCTGTCAGCCTCCATCATTGATAGCTCCAATACCACAAGCAGACTCTGTGGTCCCTTTTTGGTTACATGGTTAAATTTCTCTACTTTGCCCAGAAAAGGGCCACTTATGTCAATGGCTACTTCCCTAACTGCCCTCTGTCCTGGTTCCATGGTGGTTCACTCTCCTGCCCCCTTACTTCTCACATGGAGAAGTGGTGCAGGTGGTGCCAAGTTTCTAAGTGCTAGTTAGTGACAGGTCAGCAGTAACCCCTTATTTTCAAAAGCTAGTGAAACAGGTTGTCTAAAGAAAAAAAAAAGCTAGTGAAATGGGTTTTTCAGAGATGGAATTCACTAAGTTAAAGAATAAGAGTAAGCCAGATTATATTCATTATAATTTTTTAGGGTTTAAAAGGAATTCCTGGAATGATTGGACTGCCAGGACCCCCAGGACCCAAGGTATTTTTATTAAGTACCCTCCTCCTCCCCAATTGTATGATATACTATCTTCACATGAAATTTTATTTTGCCTGGTTTTTATCTGCTTTAGCTGTAATGGATATCACTAGACCTTTTTTTAAACAAACTATTTTATTATAATCCTATAGGACTTCTATTCTAAAGTGTTTGTTTTCTGTAAGCTGTTGGTAATAATTTTGTTTTTCATTCTGTTTTCACTTTTCATATTGCTGACATACTATTGCTTCAATCTCTCTAAATATTGTCATCTCTTAAAGGGCAAACCTGGCGTTGGGGCAAAAGGAGAGAAAGGTATTCCTGGATTCCCAGGACCTCGGGTGAGGCTTGGTCATTGTTAACTTCTGTGGCTTTGGAGGCATCTGTCACATTTTTGTAAGCCTCGATCTATATTCCTATGAGCTTGGAAAGTAGAGAATAACTCAAATGAGTGAAATATTTTGGAAAATAATTGTGTGATAGCCAACTGATATCATTTAGACAAAATAGGTGAGCAGAAGATGGAGGAAGTGGGGGGTAAGTAACAGGATTGTGGCATCTCCTGTCTGGCTCAGTATCAATGTGACAGTTGCTTGAAATAGTTAATCTGAATCTGTTTGATAAAACATGGTGCTGATCTAGAGGCAGTAGCTAAGACAAAAGGACAATGTCAGACCCCAAACATCATCATGAATGTCACTAATTGAATGCCCATTCAGAGTCACCGTGTAGGCAGACCAGCTGGCATGGCTTTGAGTTTGTTTGGCTCCACGTTTAGCACTGAATGGGGGAAATATTGCCTTCCATGGTCATTTTTATTGTTGCTGATGTACCAAACACCTATTTATTTCCGGACAAATTATTTTCAGTGACTTCAAACATATCTTGCCTACTGCAAGCAACAATAGTGCTAAATAGATTAAAATTGCAAAAGTGACAGCAATGAAAATCTGTTCTTAGTTAAAACATGGGTAATTTTATGTGAATTTTTAAAATAAAACTATTAATGCAGTAGCTGCTATAAAGACAACTACCTTTGCAAACAAGACTAATATGGTAAACTAAAAAATGTTGCCACAATCTGGTTCCTGTACTGTAATTTAATTCTGTTTGTGTTGCTTTTGTGAATTTATTAGGGTGACCCGGGTTCCTATGGATCTCCAGGTTTCCCAGGACTGAAGGTAAATGCACCACATTATAGATATGATAATTACGTTTTCATTCATAAATGCAGCTCTGCCATTCCATGTCATTGGAAGTTGCACTGTTGCATGCACACTTATGGTAACTGGGAAAGTGGAAACATTAATTTCATGGATTGCAGGATTTAGCTGTCGCTGCAAAAACTGAGAAAAAAAATATCTGATGCAACCCAGGAGCAGTGTTCAGACTCAAAGTCTCAGTGAACATGTGTTCAGGGTAATGAGAATGAGCTCATCTTTCGCTCAAAGAAAAACAGAACCACATGTTTGTGCTTGTTTGTAGGGAGAACGAGGCCTGGTTGGAGCACCTGGGCAGTTTGGATTTCTTGGCCCTAAGGTAAAAAAGTGAGACCGTTTGAGGATATCCTGAAAAAATTGTATATCCCTCATGTTAGCTCATTTATTTGAAAAAAAGTTTTCAAAGAATCATTCAAAAATGTTAACCTTTGGAAGAGATGGAGTTAATTTTATATATACTGCTTTAATTCACATGGTGCATTTGGATGCGTGATTATACCGTTCTCATCTTCAGCATGAGCGTGTTTGCTTTGCTTTTGAGAAGCAATCCCTTTGAAGGTAAATGATAGTTTCAAGAAGTCTATGGACTGACAGGGCTGAGATGAAAACCAGGATTCTGGAAAGCTTTGTAGCCTCACATTCAGCTCCTTCGCAGGGCAAACGATGAGAGCATTAAATACACACAATCAAGGAGGCCAAAATTTGTTGTTGAAATGAAGTGTAGATTCAGGTCTTCCAGCTAAATAAACACTTTGTCCTAGAGTACCAAGTTAGACATAGTGTTATCAAGAAACGTAGTGACTTCAGAGGGATGTAATTGATGGGTGTGGAATAATTCTGTTGGAGTGAATCTTTTCCTTTTGCGAGAGCTTTGTGAGTCCATTATTGACACACACACACACACACACACACGTGTAAGTAGCCGATTGGTGCTCCTGTAGGTGGCTGATTGATGCCGCTAGGAACTCTGTGAATCTCTCACTTTTCTAGGCAATATGCAGTCTTTATGTGTGTGAATGTACACATGGTTCCCCTAGTGTCCAGTGCCAGACAACATGAGTAAAATGCTGATATTTCTAAGCAAAGTGAACAAATGAATGATTTCAGGGAGATCCTGGAGACCGCGGGCGCCCGGGACCACCAGGCATTTTGGCAACTCCATCTCTTCCACTCAAAGGTTTGTGTCCTGTTCAGTTCCTCCACAGTGTGTGTGGAAATGAGACCGGGGTGACCCCCACAGAGGACTCGAGCCCAGTATTTCAGTAGCTTGCACACTGCGCTAAGTATGTGAACATTACCGTGAACCACCCACAGGTGCGTGTGGAGATGTGCGTCTTGGCTCATTTCTGCCAGTAGGAGATGTTAGATTTCATTTCAGGAGATAAACTATATATTGGGATTTTTAGGATGTCAACTATTAGAAAGTAGTTTTCTTTAATTGCTAAAAATATATACCATTTGACTAACACCTACTAAATGCTGCATCATTCAACAACCAAGAGAGCTCCCCTCAAAGTTCCTACATCTGCAGAGGGAGGGCAGTCATGGGTGTTTCAATCTAAGATATTCCACTTAAAATATAGCAAGAAATTCAAGGGTCTCCTCCTTAGACTTTACCTGGCCTCACCCAAAGTCATGTGTCTGAATTCTATCACTTATACGTGGATTTATTTATTCACATATCTCATTATCTCTGGCAGGTCCTCCTGGGGACCCTGGGTTCCCTGGCCGCTTTGGCGAGATGGGGGCCTTTGGACCACCTGGCCTCCCAGGTCCACCAGGCAGACCTGGGGAAGCCTGTGCAGGTACAAACCCACTGTTTTTTCTGCATGCCGGATTTCCTACATCAATGTCTGCACCAGGGTTCTCAACTCTAGCTTTGACACTGAGTCCTTAGGAGTATTTAAAAAATGCTGAGGCCTGGGCTCACCCCAGACGAGGAATATTAAACTCTCAGGGAGGGTGGGCCCTGCATTTCTAATGTGCAACCAGCATTTAGAACCAATCACTCGCTCCAACCAACCAATCACTTACTTAGAAGAAATACAGGTTCCTCCCCTGCAACCCGACAGTAGTCCATCAGTACCATAGGATGTTGGGGGGAATGCATGGGTTTAAACAGGACTTCCATGAGATTGTCACAGGCACGTAGATTGGAAACTCAGTATTTCCTCTTGTTTTCCCACCCTTCTGAAGGCTTTCCCTGTGATATGTACTTGCAAAGTTCTATTCATCCACCTATGCCCCAACTCAAATCTCCTACATGAAATGTGGAAATAAAAATTATGATAAAAAATAAAATTAAGATGCAGTTTTACTTTAAGAAAAAAAAAAGGCCTTTCTTATTCCCCCAAAATGAAAGCAAAATCAAGAAAACCATAAGATCTAGTGACATTGGACAAAAAGCCCAGAAAAGAGCCCCATTGACAGAGGATTTTGAACTCTTTCAGGTCTGTGCTAATATTCCCAGGAATAGAAGGCTAGAGAGTTTTGCATCCTCTGAACACTGAAGAACTGATTAAAAAGTCTTGGATAAATGTCATTTTCTCCAGCTCGGGTCTCTTGTTATTTATATTGGGGAGTAAGAAGTTACTCATTCACTAAAAACAAAACTTTAATCTTCCTTGAATCTTGTTTTCACTATGTAGGATCTGATGACCACAAAAGTAATAGATTTTTCTCTGGTTCCTTTAGCTTTTAGACAGCATAATCTTGGTTTAATTGGCCCAGGATTCTATGAACCATGTAGAGAATCCTGCTGTCTGGAAAGTACTTACTCTGGTTTAAATTTCTACCTTCAAGCTTATTTACAATAAAATAGTGTCTCCAGAAGCTTGAAATAACAACTTAAGGGTAGCAATTAACAAGTGGCTCTAGAAAATTCAAACCCAAATATACAGGAACTTTCTTGATTCCAGAAGCCTTTTTTTTTTTTTTTTTTTGACAGGCAGAGTGGACAGTGAGAGAGAGAGACAGAGAGAAAGGTCTTCCTTTGCTGTTGGTTCACCCTCCAATGGCCGCCGCCGGCCGGCGCGCTGCAGCTGGTGCACCGCGCTGACCAATGGCAGGAACCAGGTACTTCTCCTGGTCTCCCATGGGGTACAGGGCCCAAGCACTTGGGCCATCCTCCACTGCCTTCCCTGGCCACAGCAGAGAGCTGGCCTGGAAGAGGGGCAACCAGGACAGAATCCGGTGCCCCGACCGGGACTAGAACCCGGTTTGCCGGTGCCGCAAGGCAGAGGATTAGCCTAGTGAGCCGCAGAGCCGGCCTCCAGAAGCCTTTTCAAAATGAATTTAAAAGCTTTCAAATCTTGACCATGACACATAATTAAAAATGCATTTTATTTTGCATTGGATTTATATTACACAACCATACCCATATATATAGTATGCACATATACAGATGATTGAAACTTAAATTTTACAAAATAATACCTTATTGGCATAATGTTCACTATTTTCTTTATTTTTAAAGATTTATTTCATTAATTTGAAAATCAGAGTGACAAAGAGTAAGAGTAAGGGAGAGAGAGAGAGAGAGAGAATCTTCCATCTGTTCTTTCATTACTCATCAAATGGCTGCAATAGCGTGGGCTGGGCCAGTCTGAAGCCAGGAGCCTGGAACTCTATATGGGTCTCCCACTTGGGTAACAGGGACCCAAGTACCTGGGCCATCTTCTACTGCCCTCCCAGGCACATTAACATAGAACTGGATCAGTAGCATAGTAGCTGGGACTAGAACTAGTGTTCCTAGGCCATGGCTTATCCTTCTGTGCTGCAATGCTGACCTGATGTGTTCTGTTTTCTATTTATTTCATTTTCATATTTTTATTTATACTGGCTACAACTTGATTGATTTCATGTGCTGCTAGTGTGTACTCGAGGCTGCAATGTTCCATCCTGTTGCAAGAAGGTTAAGTGTGCTCCCCAGCACTGGAATGACTCAGCAGACATCATGGGGCCATCTAGTGGAATCCCAGCTGGCTCTTAGTAATGGCAGGAAGACAAGATGGCACCACATCCAAGTCCATTTGTTCTGAGCTACAAAGTCAATGCCCCTTACCACACATATTTAGTCTCATGAGTACTTATAGTATTTTCCATGCAGTAAGCAGAGTCTTGGAGTTGGACATTTCTAATTGAGTCTAAGCCTTGCCATGTGGTGGAGTCCACATAATATAGTGTAATGTAGTAACATATTCTTGGTTTATTCGCAGACCAAAAGTATTCCAGTTTCAACTGCTTACAAGCTATGTGACATTGGATAGTTATCCAACCAGTATATTCATCTGTAAAGCAGAATTTTGTTAGGGTTGAAAGAAGTAATATGTATATGGTCTTTAGAATACCACCTGATAAGGGCTGGCATTGTTGCGTAGCAAGTTAAGTTGCTGCCTGGGATACTGGCATCTCATAAGGGCACCAGTTCGTGTCTCTGCAGCTCTGCTTCTGATTCAGCTCCTGCTAATTTGCCTGGAAAAGTAGTAGAATACAGCACAAGTGTATGGGCCCTTGCCGCCCACATGGGAGACCTGGTTGAAACTGTTGGTTCCTGGCGTCAGCCTGGTCCAGCCCTGGTCATTGTGGCCATCTGAGGAGTAAACCAGGAGATGGCAGATCTCTCTCTCTCTCTCTTTTTCTCCTTCTCTCCCCCTCCCCCATTCTGCCTTGCAAATAAATAAATAAATTGTTTTAAGAATACCACCTGACATGCAATAAAGATGCAATATGTTAGCTATTAACATCATTACTCATATTTGTCCTAAACCTTCAGTGTGTTATCTATAAGAAGATACAAACTTTTCAGGTGACATGAGAAGTAAAGATAATGTTTACAAATTCATGTGAAGCCCCAGTAGATATGCATGCAATAATGATTGATAGCCATTCATTTAACCAGCATGTTGTGTTATTGATGACTGACAGATTTTGAGTTGCCTATTGTTGAACAAATTACCCACAATATGGTTTGAAACAAGGATCAGTACTTTGCCCCTCCCTCCCTTTGCAGTTCAAGAGTTCAGCAAGAGCTAAGCTGAGTAATACTGGCTCAGGGATTTTTCTGTATGATTGCAGCACATAGCAGCTGGACCTGAAAGATAAGGCCTGGCTGGGGCATTTCTCTCCTACATCTCCCATGTGGTCTCCGGGCCTCTCCATGTGGGCTCTGGACTTAAGTTAGGCTTCCTACAACATGCGGTCTTCAGGGCAGTGAGATTACTTGTGTGGCAGCTCAGGACTCTGGTCCCAAGTGCTTGAGCTCACAAGGTAGAAGTTGAACCACCTTTCAAAGATGCTGCATTTTAGGGGAGGCAAAACCCCACCTTTTGATAGGGAAATATCAAGATTTTAAGAGAGCACAAGAGGCCAGAGCTGTCCTGGCTGCCATCATTGAAAAGTGCAATCTTTCATGAAGAGATTCTCTAAGTAGGCAGGCTTAGGCAGAAGCTATGAGAAGCAGCCGCTCTCAGATGAAGGCTTTCTACTGTTATACTGTCATTAAGACAGAAACACCAGCACGGAGGAGTGGGATGTCGCGGGAATTGGGGGTAACACTGACCTGCTGTGCAGGATACGTTCTGACCTCATCTGAACACACTGGACATCTGTGTGTTTACTGAGCATGTGTGACCATTGGGATGTTCCTAAGCTTCTTGCAGGATTACTGATTTAACATTTATAACAAACCTATAACATAGATGCAGAGGAGTCCATAAGTAAAATTACTAACAAATTGCCATGACTACAGGGAGCCAGGTTGGATTCAAACTGGGTACCTCCATGCTTCCTCACCAACCTGGGCAGCTGTGAAATGGATGGCATTTTATGTCTTACATGGATGATTATATGAGTCTGTTTTTTATCCACTAAACATGCTGATATGCTTATTCCTATTATTTTCACCAAGTTACTGGTGTAGAAAGATTGGAGAAGTAATAATTATAATTAAATAAAATGGATTTCTTATCCAATAACCCTAAAGAGTGGGAAGAAGTTAAGAAATTTCTTATCCAATAACCCTAAAGAGTGGGGAGAAGTTAAGAAATTCTCAAAGGGGAAACTTGTTGAAATGAAATGGACACTATGAGAAACAGTGACTTGATCAGCTCTTGTCCTGACGGTTGATGTACAATGTAATACTTTATCCATTTTAGTATTTTTTTTTTGTTCTAGTACCGTTGGTTGAACTCTGTAATTAACACACAATTATTCTTAGGTGTTTAAATTTTAACTGAAAAGTGATCCCTGTTAGGAATTTGGAAAACATATGTTGAGTGAAATAAGCCAATCCCAAAGGGACAAATACCACTTGTTCTCCTTGATAGGTGACAACTAACTGAGCACCAAAAAGGAAACCTATTAAAGTGAAATGAACACTATGAGAAACGGTGACTTGATCAGCCCTCACCCTGACTGTTGATGAGCAACTTGATATGTTATCCCTCTTAGTATTTTTTTTTGTTTGTTCTACTTAATACTTTTGGTTGAATACTGTACTCAATACACAATTCTTCTTAAGTGCTGAAACTTAACTGAAAAGTGATCACTGTTAAATATAAGAGTGGGAATAAGAGAGGGAAGAGATGTGCAATTCGGGACATGCTCAAGCTGACTTACCTCAAACGGTAGAGTTAGAAACATACCAGGGGATTCCAATTCAATCCCATCAAGGTGGCATGTACTAATGCCATCTCACTTGTCCCAGTGATCAATTTCTGTTCACAATTGATCATAATGATAGGACTAAGAACCAAAGGGATCACAGAAACAAGACTAGTGTCTGCAAATACTAGCTGATAGAATA